TCAATCAGAGTTATATTTGATTTGTTTATTGTTTTATTTATGGTTTTTGTACATTTAACAAATAAACAAATATGTTACTATATTTGTAATACCTTTAAAATATGTCAAATTAAAATGCAAGTCTATTTTTAATTATTTATTTAGATATATTATATGTCCTTGATTTTTTTTGAACATGCTTCATTTATAATCAGTCAGAAGATATTTGATGTTTTATTGTTGTTGTATTTGTTTTTGCACATTATATTCACACACATATAGTACAGACAATTAAAAATAATGTTTTTATTTTAATTTTTTTTTGCATTATGCTTCATTCATATAGCTTTTGTTGGTAGAAAATAACAGAATTACACAAATCAGGGTTTTTGGCTGAATTTAAATACCCCAAATTTTGGTAACAGGTTTGAATGAAAAAAAAGTAAAGAAAAACAATATATATATATGCATATTTTTAGTGTCATACTAAATGTTCAACACTGTTACCCTTACTTATATTACTTACATTAATAATAATAAAATAATGAATATATATATATATAGAGAGAGAGAGAGAAAAATGTTTGTATATGTCTACTAAATGTATGCAAATAATTTTTTTGCTGTATTGAAATATCATACATTTACTTATTTTAAATTACTTGTGTAATTTTGGTAAATATATAATGTGGTAAATATTATATTTAACAAAATAACACATAACATTGTTAAAAATGGTATATGACAGTGTGTGTTTATATATATCTTGTTCTGAGCATATTACCTTTTAATACAATATATTAAGAGTTTCAGGCTCCCCCCTTTTCACGTCATTGTCATTTTCCCAGTGGCGTTGTGTAAAAGCAGATGTTGTTTATGTTGTGTTTATCATATTATTGAAGGATGCAGAGGCCCAGGGTGTTTGTGTCTGGACTTCACGTGCAGGCCTTTCTATCAGAGATCGTCAGTCTGGAACAAGTGATATAGTGGGGAAATGTGGGTCGTAGGACATGACATTTGTTTCTCTTATCGAGTCTCCTCTCCAGACTCGTTTCCCGAGGACAGAGCTCATTGTGCAGTTTTTCCATGGCCGTGTCATGCCCATATACAGACAAAAACACATAGACGTCTGTGTGTGTCTATAACGCTGTTAAAACTGAGCGAAAACTTGTTTTGATGTGTACATGACACGTAATCGTTCAGGACTAATTCGTAACTCTCATGTTATTCTCTTGAGACTCCTGCATCGAATCTGTCCAGGTTCAGCTTTCCTTCACAGGAGGATGATGGTCATTTGAGATGCTGTTTCTCTTACAAACACACACACACACACTCACAACAGGCCAGTCGCCTCAAAGTGATTGACATGTACAAAATAGCATACATAAATGCACAGAAATGTGTGCTGCGGATGTGGCTTCATTTTTACAATTGGATTACACTGATTCATTTTGCACGGCTGGGAAATGAGTGAAATCAATCTTTGGCATTAAAATGTGGAAAGCATATACAGATGTAGCATCTGAAATTATTGAAGTAGTTTGACGCCAAACATAATGTTTCCCATCGGACCTAAATAAATGAAACTTGCTCTCATCACTAAAGTGAACTTTGGACCAGTTCTCCTCTCTCCACACGACATGCTCCTCAGCAAAGATGAGTCTAGCCTTTTGATTCTTTCTGCTGATGAGAGGTCTGGTCACTGCAGAGTGTGCTTTCAGTCCGACTTCTCTTAAACGTGCAGAGACACTGTATGCTGGGACAGATCCTTACCCTGTTTAGCGATGAACTGGCGAGCAATTCCAGCTGCAGTGTTGAACCGATTCCCCATTGAGAGTCTCTGCATTATCCTGTCTTCTCATTCATTTGTCTTACATGGATGACCAGCCTTTTTGGGGGACTTGAATGAATTAATGTCACTGTAAAGCTGCAATATTCTAGAAATCACAGATTTGGAGCGACCAGCTTCTCTTGCTATGGCTGGGAGGGTCATCCCTTTGGCCTTCATCTGGACAACCTGCTGTCTGAGGGTTTCAGTCACCTTAGAGTGCCCCGCCATCTTGGAAAGTCAGTGAAAACTGGAAAGTTAGACTGCCAGTTAAATCCAGGTTTGTCATATAATTAAGGAAATTAGCACCAGGTGCCAGAGGTATCTGAAAGTGTTCTTTTTCAGATATCTCATTTAAGTTTTTTATACTGTGCTTCAGAATATATTTGAATTCATGAAATATGCCTAAAAAAACTGCCCTTCTGCTCCTTTTAGTATAACTTCAAATAGAACTAAGCAGTGACCTCGAAATATAGGAAACTGGGGGTTGATTTCTAATTTTGATCTCCACTGTGTAATTTACTATAAAATGAACACCATTTAGGACAATGGAAATTACAGGCGAGACACTGCAGGTGAATAGGGTAAAAAAAATAACTAATAGTTATGGCCTTACTTACCCAGCTGATTGATTACATTGATAATTGCAAACATTTTTTGTATTACAAGTTTTCTAAAATGTTAGGTTTAAATATGCAAGTGAGTCATTATTTAATGAAATATGCGCTAATTTACATACATTTCTAGTACAAATATCTAAACACTGGATTATGTCAGTTTCAAAATTCTTGTTTAATTTTTTTGACATATTAGAGTCAAAAGTTTTTACAGAGGGAATTTTGTCTCATTTTTGTCACTCCATAATTCAGAAAATGCTTAGAACGGACAGAAAACATTATATTTTCACAATTTTTGGGGGGAATAAAATGTTGTATATAATCAAGCAAATTGTATATGAACAAATCCCTCTGTAAAAACATTCAGAATATAGACAGGAATAAAAATGTGAAGTTTGGTGTGTGTAAGTGCTACTGAAGTGGAGATTTATGGCTCAGTGTAGGAGAAAAAAAACTCATTTTGAGAAAACGGCCTTTAAAAATATGTATTGTAATTGAAATCTATTGACACAAATAGATAAAGTGCTATAAAAGAAACACTTAACAGTGTCTTTTTGGATGTTTTCTTTCCACTAGTCTGAAAAAACACTTTATGAAAAACCAAAAAGCCCAAAATCTCAAATTTGATAGGTGCAAGAAAAAACAGGGTTTTTGCCTGCAGTCTCTCCCCTTAAAACCAAAATCAAATGTCTGCACTCATTATGATTATGAGAATTTGATGGGGTGGAAAAGTGTATAATTCATGAAAATAATGTAACGCTGCAAAAAAAAAAAAAAAGGTTTTACAAATCTGGTCTGGTTTAAAATCTGCTTTATTTTCTTTATGCAAAATATCATTTCTATTTTTCTTTTCGCAATGAAATGTGACCTTGACGTGTTTCTGTGAGATTCAACAATGTCCTCTAAGATAAAGATGTTGATTTGACCAAAAAAGCTCAGCTTAATCCATGTGTATTCATAAAAAAATGAAGTGTTCATGAAGAACATGAACTGTCATGATGAACATCCACAGCCAGGCAAGAGAGGTCACTGAGGTCACTGAGGCTGTCAAACCTTCCCATCTTTCAGTGACTGGATCTTTGCAGAGATTTGAAGGCATTTTTATCATGATCATGAATCTGTCTTTCGGATGAGACGTTAAAACGAGGTGCTGACTCTCTATGGTCATTAAAAATCCTATGGCACTTCTCGTAAAGAGTAGGGATGTAACCCTGGTGTCCTGGCCAAATTGCCCCCCTGGCCTTTGTCAATCATGGCCTCCTAATAATCCCCAACCACTTGATTGGCTCTATGACTCTCTCTCCTCTCCACCTGTAGCTGGTGTGTGGTGAGCGCACTGGTGCCGTTGTCCTGTGGCTGCCGTCGCATCATGGCTGTCCAAGTGGATGCTGCACACTGGTGGTGGTTGAGGAGAGACCTCCCTATATGATTGTAAAGCGCTTTGGGTGTACAACAATACACAACAAAGCGCTATATAAATGCATCATTCATCAAATATCTCATGCAAACACTCTTTTCCTCTGAATGTTGCTCGGCAACCAGCAACTTGAGCTGAGTTTCTCTGGCGATAGAAATCGCAGAGGTCGACTGATTTTCATGTGTTTCTCTCTGGGTTTAATGCATTTGTGTTATTTTTGGACAAAACGGTTACTGTAGTTTAACTGTTTTTAGCATATGTTGCACAACGCAGATAATTTCAGAGTACCAAGCGAAATTGAGTTTGGGCAGTTTGTTGTTTTTGTGGAGTTTTGCACAGTAATTCAATTATTATTATTAATTAATAGTACTTACTATGAATTACACTAACAAGAGCACGTAAATATTGACATTCTCGACTTTTTCAGTGCTCTGTATTTGAAATATTTGTATTAATGGTAATTATTATTCATTTATACTAACAATTGGAATGTTATAATAAAATGAAATTTATTAATAACAGTAATTCTTAGTATGGTCCCAATGTGGATTTTCTGAAAGTGAAGCATGTAAATCTTGTGATATATTTATTTTTTCAATGCACAATAATTTAAATATTATTTTAAATAATTGTTGTTGTTGTTATTATTATTAATTATGTTAAGAGTTGCACTGTTATAACAATATTGAATGATTAATAACAATTTAGTCTTTTTATTAAGCATCCAGTGTGCATGTTCTGAAAGAGAAGCACGCAAATCTTGTGACTTTTTTTTCAATGCACAGTATTTTATATGTTGTTTTTAATAAGTGTAATTATAAATTATTATTAATTTGACTAACAATTGGAATATTTAATGATTAATAATAATTTAATCATTTTTATGAAGTGCACAGTAAGTCTTGACATATTTATTTTTGCAATTCACAGAAATGTAATAGTATCTTATTAATAGTAATTATTATTCATTATACTAACAATTGTTATAAAAAGTTATAATAAAATAAATTGTTATAAAAAGTTATAATAAAATAAAATTATTTCTAAGCATAAGCACCCAATTAGTGGGTTTTCTGAAAGTGAAGCATGCAAATCTTGTAAAATTGTTTTTTTTTTTTCAGTGCACAGTAATTTAAATAATTATTTTAATGAAAAGTAATTATTATTCATTATACTAACAATCAGAATATGTTATTATAATGTTAAATGATTAATAACAATTTAATATTTTCCTTTTTATGAACATTAAATGTGTAAATCTTGTGCATCACATGGGTTTATTCGTGGTTTGACCTCAGTGGTCTGTGAATGACCTCTGTCAGATGGAAATTATGCTGATACATACACATATAGGCACATATAGATTCTTCATCACACTCAATCTGATCCCCAGAGGTCAGTACAATCGTTAAATACACACAATATGCTCACCCTGATAAGACGTCACTATCTGGGAACAGGAAGTTACATGCAGTTAAACAGATAATAGACATCCTACTGTAATCTACTCACAAGAGAGCTGTTGTTATTTTCCATTCCATTTGCAATCCAACAGACATGACACATGCCGCAATATTCACTTTAGATTAAAAATAGTGACTTTTTGTGTCAGAACATTGCTTTTGTTTAGTTTCCTCCCTAAATTATTTTCTGTTCTATATTCTGTTTCACATCATTTAAACATATTGCTAATGCCGTTTCATGTCATTTTAAAGTATCTGTGTGTTTTTTAAATGATATATAATTTAAATGAGTGATGTCAGCAGTGCTTTTGGGAACTGAACCTGCAACCTTTGTTTTCCCAGCCGTGTCCTTAACTGATTGGCTGCCGCTGCGTTATTTTGACAGGTGCATGAATTTCATGCTCTGCAGACAAAACAAAACCCAAATGAACCAAAACACCTGCATTTAAACCAAAACTAAAGCCCTCTTCAAAGAATAACTAGAAAGTCCAGTGCATTTCTTTTGCTTTTTCTATTTAAACCACTGTTGTTACTGGTAACTAAAATGAAAACTATTAAACATTGTTTTCATTAATTAAAATAAAGCTTAAATAAAATAATATATAAATATCAGATGAAAAACCTAAACTTTACTTTATAAGAAAATAAATGTTTAAACTGAAACTATTAAAAATAGGTTTTGTTAATTAAAATAAAGCTAAAGTAGAAATAAAGTATAAAAAACTTTTTTAAGATTAGAAATGTTTAAAATTAAACATTAAAAATATGCCTTTACCATTTTATTCATTTTTATTTTGTGAAATTTCATTTAAATTTTTTATGGCTTTATGTCCTTTTATTTTCTATTCCTGTTTTGTCTTTTAATTTATTTTATTCCCTTTTATTATCATGCCTTTTATTTTTATTTATGCATTATTATTATTATATTTTTTTATTTAGCTAAATTATTGAACCAAATTGCATTGCATTCTAAACTTTTTATTTTTCCCCTTTTGAGAATTATGATCATTACTGTTTTGTTTTTATTTTTAAGTCTTTTTAGTGTTGAATGCATAAAATCTTAAAAGGACAGTCATGCATGTTGTTGAACTGATCAGTAATGATCCATATAAAAATGTCTTTTTTTCAGGCACAGGGGAAAAGAAACAACAGTCGAAGAAAGAAAAAATGAAGGAGCGCAGGGAAAGATGGCTTAACAGTGAGTATTTGTTCACCTTCTCTTCTTTCCTTTCCTGCAAAGAAAAACTCTATATCATCAACTGTCCGGAGAACACAATCCCGAAACGCTCATGTGAGGCTATTTCTTTCATCGTGAACTGATCTGTGATTCTCTAATGGGCCGACGGGAATTTCAGAGATGGATATGGCAGGATCATTAACGCCACACCCCAATTCTGACGCCCGTATTTGCTCCGGCCGATCAATGCGGCGTGTAACACAAGCTCGGTCCAAGGTGATTATAATTAGGATCTAATGGGGCTTACGGCTCCAGCTGAAACCCAAGCCTCAGACTGCATGTCGCACTGTCAGGAAATTAAAAAGGTGGAGGGTTAAGATGTTGATGGATTCATAAAACGCAAAGACCTTCAAGGTCTTAACAAATGGTGTACAATAACACTTCTATACAGATATGCAGTGGTAAAAAGATCATAACGGCAGTAGAAAACCCCCCAAAATGGCCACTTGTGAGAAAATGACATTTCTTTGTGTTTGCAAAAAGACGTAGTGCTTCTGTCAAAGTGCTTCTGTGTCTGTTGTTTTCTTCCCTACATGTACTTTGTTGTTTTTGGACTGAAGCTGCTGGTGTGTCCTGCTTTCTGTCTCAGAGCTTTGGTTTGGTTTTAGATGGCCGGGTGACATCAGTCCGTTCCTGCAGGTTTCTGTCTTTGACCTGGACAGGACGTCATACTGGATATTGGCCTACTAGAATGAACTGATCCTTTTAAACTGACTTTTTAATTTTTTTAATTATGTGTGTGACCTACTGTAACTTTACTGTGATAAGTGGCATTTTAGACATTGTTTAAAACACATTTATTCTTTTGATTCTTTGCCTAGATTAAATGGAGATATGTTTTTTTTGTATGTATTTTTATGTATAGGGTTAGGTTTATAGTTATGGGTTATGTATTTACTTATGTAATTATGTAATTATACACTTTTTTGTTTTTATTTGATGCTTTATGTATTTTTGCCATATTATGTTATACATTTTATTTAATACATTTATATTTTTATGCTTTTGCACCTTTTTAATATATACCCTTTTGTTTTACACATTTTTATCTTACGTATTTATGCTCTTGTTTTTTTTTATTCATTTTAATTAATTTTTGTATTTAATTCTTATTTTTCCACATTTTTTATAATTTTTTGGTTTATATTTTATGCTTTTTAAATTCCATCATGGCATTATATGTTATATATTTTATTATATGAATTATATATGAATTTGTGTTTTAGGTTTTATGCTTTTTATTTTATGCCATTTTGTAGCTTTTTGATGCCTTTTTATTTAATGACATTTTATTTTATTTTATTTGAATGTACTTTATTTTTATGCCTTTTTAATTTATACCTTTTTATTTATTTTAATGCTTATTTAAAATTTTAATGTTTTAATTAATGCTTTATTTTTTATTTTACACAATTTTTATTTTTATTTTATACAACTAAAAAAATGTGTTATTTAATGCCTTTTTATATATATATATTTTTTTTTTTTTATAATTACATTTTTTTGTTTACATTAAAACATTTTTTTTTATTGTATGCTTTATTAAATCCCTTATGTTGTTTTGTTTTATACCTCTTATTTTATGAATTCTCATTTTTTTGCTATTTAATGCCTTATTTTTTTTCTTTTCTTTTTTTTTTTTTTCATTTTATTTTCTTCCTTTTCATGCCTTTTTTTTATTTTATACAACTAAAAAAATGTGTTATTTAATGCCTTTTTATATATATATATTTTTTTTTTTTTATAATTACATTTTTTTGTTTACATTAAAACATTTTTTTTTATTGTATGCTTTATTAAATCCCTTATGTTGTTTTGTTTTATACCTCTTATTTTATGAATTCTCATTTTTTTGCTATTTAATGCCTTATTTTTTTTCTTTTCTTTTTTTTTTTTTTCTTTTTATTTTCTTCCTTTTCATGCCTTTTGATGATAATGACAACTTCACAACTTGTGTTATCCACATCCGTGCAACAGTTCAGTTAGCATGTGTGAATTTGAATAAATATGTGAATGTGTGTCTACTGCTCGTTGCTACCAGAAAACCACTTTTTCATATGTAGTTTGTTTGTCTTTCTGTCATCTCCAGAGATCAGTGCGATCAAACTGGCGCGTGAGCAGCAGGTGGCGCAGGCGCGGAGGAAGGCCACGCCCGTGGTGGGCGACATGAGACCGCTGGCCGACGCCCTTCCTGAACTCTCCCAGCTCCTCCCGCCTCTCACACAGCGGAAAAACAAAGCGTAAGCCCTCACTTTTCTCATTTCGACACACAAGTACATTGGTTATGTATGCTGGGATATCCTCTGCGTTAACTGATGCATATTTGTGTATTTTCTGGCATGAATTACTGTAGTGCCTTGAAACAACACATCGTACAAACGGATTTCATTCAGCACCTGTTTCTCTTTTTTGTATACATTTTCTGCAATCCAGGGTTCATATTTTTCTCTTTCTGCCCTTTAGTTCTATACATTCACTTAATATTTAGTATAATTAAACAATTTTTTAAATAAAATGGTAAAGCCAAAACATGACATCTCATTTTGTTTAACATATTAATTCTGTATCAGCTCAGGATTAATGCCTACTATGAGTATTAACATTTGCAATTTTTACATATTGAAAAGTCATGTATATTAATAACATTTTTAAAAGTGGTTTAAAAAAACAAACCACTGGAAAAGTTATGAAAACACATTGGTCAGGTGTGTGAAATCATGTAAATAAACAAGTAAGATATTTACATATGGAAAAGCCATGTATATAAACATGATTTAAAATTTTTTTGGATAAAAATTTAATCGGCTAGATTTATTTATTTATTTTTTGTGATTTATTTTTTGTGCATTTTTGTCATTTTTATTCGTTTTTTTTTTATGTCTTTTTTAATTTTATTAATTTTTATTTCAGTTTTAGTTGTTTTAGTACATCAAGTTAAATGAAATTAAATAAATTAAATTAAACTAAAATTAGAAATGTTGTCTTGCCTATATGTTGCCAATAAATTTAAGGTTTTTTATATTTTATTTTATTT